GTATTTAATGTGCTCTAAGGATCTGTGGCCAGAAATGTACAGTTATTCCCATCAAAAGGTGTGTGACGTCTCATTTCGGGTAAGAGCATTTTCTAAGCAAGGTTGGTAACACATTGCATTCTCCTGCCAGGTAGGTAACAAATAGAGATTGCTATTGCTCATACAGGTTGTGAATGTGGAGCCAGCTTCCCAGACAGGCAGAGCTCAGTTATCCTCAGCGATCAGCTGAATAATACATATTCTCTTTTCAATCACCTGCCAAGGGAAGCACACAGACATTCCACAAAGGACTACATAAATGAGCTTGCACTCAGTGACAGAGCAGTGTGACGATGATTTCATTCTGTTTGGCAAGAGTCAACTTTAACAGTGACAGGAGTGTAACAGCACCTCCAAAATTTTGGAGGCACCACGCTCCCTGTGAATGAAGGGAAATATGTCACTCAAGGGGGAGTTTTTGTTTCTCTCACTTTAGGTACTAGACCACATGTTCCATGAAAAGGTAGAAGAAGCCATTCTTTTCTGGAGCATTTGCTTGGAAATGTTCATTGATTCATTTGTATATTCAAAAATATTATTGCAAAAATATCAAGGCATCATTTTCATTAAGCTTTCCCAGAAACTGTGCTAAGTGCTAGGGATACAATAGAATGCAAAAACTGGCATGGCCCCTGTCTGTGAGAAAACAAGGTTAGAAAGACAAATACAAAGACAATAATCACATACATAATATAAAATTGCAAATGAGTCAGGTACTATGGGATAAATAAATAAATTTTGGGATGCTACAAAATGTATAAAGAAGAAAAATGGCCTTGTCAGAGAGGTAAGAACAGGATGATGAAACAGAGAGGTGCAGTAATAGAGTAACCGGGGAAAGAATAGCCAAGGAGGAGTATTTGCAGAGGTCTTGGGATAGGGTTGCATGGGGGAGGATCTAGGTAATTCCAGAAGGTGACGAAGACTCCTGACATAAAGAAAAGAGCAAGGGTGCTGTAATGGGTTGAATTGTGTCCCCCAAAAAAGATATATATATTTTTTGAGATAGAGTCTCTTTCTGTCATCGTGGGTAGAGTGCAGTGGTGTTATCATATCTCACAGCAGCCTGAAACTCCTGGGCTCAAGAGATCCTCTTGCCTCAACCTCCTGAGTAGCTGGAACTACAGGCATGCACCATCATGCCCAGCTAATTTTTCTGTTTTTAGTAGAGATGGGGTCTTCCTCTTGCTCAGGCTGGTCTCGAACTCTTGAGCTCAAGTGATCCTCCTGCCTTGGCCTCCCTGAATGCTAGGATTACAGGCATGAACCACTGCTCCTGGCCCCAAAAAGATATGATATATTGAAGTCCTGACCCCCAGGACCTCAGAACATGACCTTTTATGAAGATAGTTTCATTGCAGACATAACTGGTTAAGATGAGGTCATATTGGAGCAGGGTAGACTCTTACTCCAATATGACTGGTGTCCTTATAAGAGGAGGATACAGAGATGCACAGAGGGAAGACAGCAATGTGAAGACGTAGGGTGAGGTCTGCTTTATGCTTCCACAAGCCAAAGGCCATTTGGGGATGCTGGAAGAGGCAAAAAAAAAAAGACCCCTCCCCTACAGGCTGTACAGAAAGCATGGCCCTGCCAACATCTTGATTTTGGACTTCAGGCCTCTAAAATTGTGAGAGAATAAATTTCTGTTCTTTTAAGCCACCCAGTCTCTGAGAATTTGCTGCAGCAGCCACAGGAAATGAACACAGGTGTGAAGGAAGACTGGTGGTGAGCCAGCCTGGGGAGTGGAGAGGGCCAGACCTCATGGGGCCTTGATGATCTTATTAAGGGTCTAGCTCTTAAGAGCAATGGAAGCCAAATCAGCTTTTAAAACACTGAGGTAACAGTGGCTGGGTAGCATGTGAGAGGATCAGAGTCACCTTTTGAAGCAGTCACCTGGACTTTAGCAAATGAATTGCAAGGAGGCAAGAATGACAGGTCACCAACATTCCACATCACTGACTTCTCAAAACAGCCACCTAATTAGATCACATTTTTCTTTCCAACTACCATAGATTCCAGAAATCAAACTTTCTGTGTCCATTAATACTGGTCAGCTGAAACAAAACTTTTCCAAATTGTGTTTCAAGGAACACTGATTCTGAGAAACCTATTTTAGAAGATATGTTTCATGGTCAAATAGGTTTTAGAAGTCCTAATTTCCTTGGGATCATTTTCCTTCCTTGGGGAGCTATATTGTGCATTAACATATTAGAGTTTCTGGGAAGTCCTACACTAAAGAAAGAATTTGACTCCAATTCTCAAATGTCTTTGACTATGAAATATCCTTGCGCCAAACCAAAACCAGATATTCTAAGGTATTCACTTTCGAAAATGCAGAGCAGAATATAGTATATTCTATATAAAAAGAATATACTCTTTTTATACACTCACCCTGCTTTTGAAACCAGGAAATTCTACCCAATACTTAGTTTAAATCTTGCTCTACAATTTCTTTCTTCCCTGTATTTGTGGCCTGCTGGGGGTTAGCTGCCTACAATCTGTGAAGTGATGGTTATTTTGAAGCTCAAATCTCTCTTTCCTTTCTTTACTCCCATCTGGGGATCATTTGAGAGATCTGTCCTTGAGCAATTCTCCAAGCAGGCTGTGGAGAAAATATTTATGCACCACAAAGGCCACTTTAAAAGGCATGGTATGTTCAAATGTGATTTGAAACAAGTAGTTCCAAACTTTAAAGTGTTGGTCATTATCACCAAGACAGAAGATGCACACAGCTGGAAGGAGATCAGAAGGGATCTTTCAGGCCCATTTTATTTTGAAATATATATTCTTGGGCTTTTTAAAACTTACTGAACAACTCTGACAGCACTTGAATCTAGACATTAATAGTTAACATAAAGAAGATCACAGAAAGACAATCTAACTAATTTGAGAATCTCTGCAGCACATATCTTCTTTGTGAGTGAAACTGACATACAATTCAGTAAAAAAAAACAAATGGGAAGAGTTAATTTGTAAATAGTTAAAATAATACCCTACAATTCAAGTTTTATGTTCTAGTTATTCACATACCACAGAAATGATTTCTTGAAGTTACCAAAAAATAATCCCTTTTGACATTTTCATATATGTATTAAAAGTTCTCCATTCTTGGTGGAAGAATTTTTTTTTTGAATAGAAAAATGTCAAGAAAATGACTGAAAAAAATGTACCCTCTGCTGCTTCTTTTTTATTCTCTCTCCTTCCATCATGGGTCTCTGGTTGCAGGTAGAAAGATATCTCCCAATCATTACCCCACGTAAGACAGGAAAGTCGTGTTTTTCTATCTCTGCTCTTTATAGGATCCAGACTGCTAAAGATCCTTATTAATGCATTTATGATAATAGGTTTCAGTTTGCTCTGTCATTGCTGCCCCACAGAGATGCATATTTTACAGACACGATTCTGTGGCTAATAGCCTTTCAGATAAGGTGATAAGGCAAAGCAGAAAGAAAGACGTCAGCAGCACAGATGCCTCCTCCCAGGGTAAGCTGGAGCTGGGAGACAGAAATACGATGCTTTTCCGGTTGTGCACATCTTGCAGACACCTCAAAAGGTTTAGCGTGCATGCAAGATGGCTCCTCCACCCAAGCCAGCCTCTTTACCTGCTACTCAACTAAAGAAACAGCAATCTGTTGTAATATGGAAGCAGAAACAGGCTAAGGGAAATCTTGAGACAGTTGTTCAGTTCTCATTTCTCCTTTTTAAGGACTTTTAAAGATAATTTTGGCTCTATACAATATTCTCCTTACTCGATATTATAGAATCTCATCCGTACATAAAATACTCTTCTAGGTGTGATTTCATCAAGATTAAATAGGAGTGATATTGTCTGGACACATTTAGGCTTACCTATCCCCACCCAGCTCTTCTCTGACCATTTTGCTTCTTTTGTGGAGGCAGCACATTGATATCATCCCACTTGGGCCCAACTAAAAGCACATCCAGTTCCTAAAGTTCTCTCATCTAGAAAACAGATACAACTTTCAGAATGCTTAGGGAGCTCCCTGCAAAATGCTGCCATTTCCCTAACACTGAGCAATAGCACAAAGAAGTTGGAGTTCATATCCTTTCTCGAATTCAGAATACAGCTTGATGTAGGGAAAGATCAAAAAAATGAAAGAAACAATGGACTAAATCATGATCTCATCACTTATTTACAAGAAACCTTGGATGAGTGTCTTCATCTTTCTGAGCTTCAGTTTCCTCATCTGTAAAACAGGAGTCATAACACGCACTGAAAATGCCGTTGGGAAGAGCAAGTGAGGTTTTACAAAAGATTCTTCATGGTGGCTGGCACATCAAAGCTCTCAGTCTTTACCTTCCCTTGTCTGGCCCCCTTTGAACTTCAGTATTCAATCCCAGGTAGCGTCAGAAATCAAATGCCAGCTGTGTGTCTAAAAGGAAGTTCTTTGTGAAATTTTAACCTCAAAGAATCCGTCACCCAGAATCTGTCTAATATGTAGTGTTGAATAAAATACTGTTAAAGTAAAGCATAGAGGGGAAAAATACAGAAAAGACAAGAAATGGACTCCACAGAATGTTACATTAGAGCCTACATCCATGAAAAGAGCTTAAGATAAAAGCAAAATATTCAGTCCAGCATATAGGCCATACCAATTCCACTGTTAAAGATAAGAGAGTCATGCCAACACTGGACAGAACTGCCAGGCAATTAAATGTGGTGGTTAACAGCCTAAGTTTGGAGTCAAATGCAATTATATTTCAGTTCCGGCTCTGCCATTTGCTAGTTGCACCATCATAAGCAAGCTATTGAACCTCTGTGAGCTTCAGTTTTTTCATCTGTATAAAGGAGGTAATATAATAGTATCTAAATTATGGGTGGTTCCTGTGGATAGTAAATATTGTAATGAATACATAGTGCTCTGCACACTATCAGCCAAGTAGCAAATGTTCAATAAATGGTATCAATTATTATTGCTCTTCTGCTTCTTTTCTAGACACTTAAGGTGAAGTCTGATTCATTCCTAATCACAGAACTGCAGCCTTCCAGGGCTCCAAAGTGCATAACAGGAACTTAATGCTTCAGTACAGAAACAAACAAAAGAAGAAACGAATGCTCGTCCCCTGTGACTCCTCCTCCTCCATTATGCAGTCAGGAAATAATATGGTGGGTATCCAGAGGGCGGGACAAATCTGAAGAACTATTTCCAGCTGTTAAAAAACACACAGTAACATGGAGTCCATGCTCTGCAGTCTTCACACGAATGAGATGTGACTTTTGTAAAGAATACTCATTTTAGCCCAATGGCCAGCTTTTCTTCTAGAGCAAAACCAAAGATACTTAAGCATGTAACCAATGGGGAACTTTTGTCTTTATCCTAGCCAGTTAACTGGCCTGGCAGCTAAAATAATAGCATTTTTCAATGCCATTCTTTTAGTTATCTAGAAAAGATAGGCAGCATGGATTTGTATTAAGTGAAAAGTATTTAAGGTGGAATCTGGCAGATGTACCAATAGTTTCTTCGGTAAAAATAAAGGACTCTTTTTCAGAGAGTCCCCAGTTTTTCTTTAGTCCACAGCAACATTGACAGGAAGCTGGTAAATCATCATGTTGCCAAAAATTGATCATTTCAACCTCAGTCTAAAGCAGCATAGGGGTTTAGCAAATAAGATGAATGTGATATGGAATGAAACTAAAGGGAAACATTTATTATACTACTGCTTCGTGTGAATACTGGTTGAGAAAGGAAATTTGAAGGAAAAAAATTTAATGAATGAGCTCAAAACCTTAAACGCTTGAATATTGCTAATACTGGACTAGATGTTCCAGTATCAACAACTGAAAACATTTCAATAATTTCACATTATTTTTTTTAGCAGGCATAGGTGGAATACAGTGCAAAAGCAACATATGTAACGTAAACATTTGTACCCCTGTAATATTTTTTCTTAAATTTTTTTTATTTCAACATATTATGGGGGTACAAACATTTAGGTTACGTATATTGCCTTTGCCCCCCTCCTAGGTCAGAGCTTCAAGCATGTCTTTCACCCAGACGGTATACACTGCACCCATTAGGTAGGAATTTACTCATCCCTTCATCCCCCCAACCATCTGCCTGACACCCAATGAATGTTATTATTATATGTGCACTTAAATGTTGATGAGTTAAAACTAATTTGATGGTGAGTACATGTGGTGCTTGTTTTTCCATTTTTGTGATACCTCACTTAGTAGAATGGGTTCCAGCTCTGTCCAGGATAATACAAGAGGTGCTAGATCATCACCATTGTTTTTTTGTGGCTGAGTAGAATTTCATGGTATATACATTTTATTAATCCACTCATGCATTGATGGGCACTTGGGTTGTTTCTACATCTTTGCAATTGTGAATTGTGCTGCTATAAACATTCTAGTGCAGATATCTTTTTTATAGAATGTCTTTTGTTCTTTTGGGTAGATGCATGGTAATGGGATTGCTGGATCAAATCGTAGTTCTATTTGTAGCTCTTTGAGGTATCCCCATATTGCTTTCCACCGAAGTTGTACTAGTTTGGAGTCCCACCAGCAGTAGATGAGTGTTCCTAACTCTCTGCATCCACACCAACATTTATTGTTTGGGGACTTTTTGATAAAGCCCATTCTCATTGGAGATAAATGATATCTCATTGTAGTTTTGATTTGTATTGCCCTGATGATTAGAGATATTGAGCATTTTTTCATATGTTTGCTCGCCATTAGTCTATCTTCTTTTGAAAAGTTTCTGTTCATGTCCTTTGCCCACTTTTTGGTAGGGTTGTTTGTTTGATTTTTTCCTGCTGATTTTCCTGAGTTCTAAATAGATTCTAGTTATCAACCCTTTTTCAGATGTGTAACACGTGAATATTTTCTCCCATTCTGTAGGTCGTCTGTTTGCTCTCGTGATAGTTTCCTTGGCTGCGCAAAAGCTTTTTAATTTGATCAGGTCCCATTTATTTATTTTCGTTGTTGCTGTGATTGCCTTTGGGGTCTTCTTCATAAATCATTTACCTAGATCAATGTCTGTAAGAGTTTTTCAAACATTTTCTTCTAAAATTCTTATAGTTTCATGCCTTAGGTTTAAGTCTGTTTTCCATTGTGAGTTGATTTATGTGAGAGGTGAAAGGTGTGGATCCTGTTTCAGTCTTCTCCATGTTGCTATCCAATTTTCCCAGCACCATTTATTGAATAAGGATTCTTTTCCCTGGTGTATGTTTTTGTCTGCTTTGTCAAAGATTAGATGGCTATATGAGGATGGTTTTATATCTGGGTTCTCAGTTCTGTTCCATTGGTCTATATCTCTGTTCTTGTGCCAATACTATGCTATTTTAGTTACTGTAGCCTTGTAGTATAGCTTGAAATCTGGTAAATTGATGCCTCCCAGTTCGTTCTTCTTATTGCTTAAGATTGCTCTTGCTATAACATACCCCTGTAATATTCTGAAATTTAAAAAAATGATATAAAAAAGAGGTAGCAGCCTAAAAATAAATAAATAAATATTATGTGTGTGTTTATATGTGTATATATATATGTAATTTGGCACATTGGGAAAGCCAACAGACCATATAATTGAAGTATTGTGAAATTATGGAATTGATAAAATTCAAATTAGAATGCCTCTGGGTTTTGCACACAAATGTTTATAGCAGCTTTATTCATCATCACTGAAAAGTGAAAGCAACTCAGGTATCTTTCAGCTGGCAATAAACAACATGTGGCAAATCTATGCAGTGAAATACTAGACAGCAATCAAAAAGAAGTTAGTAATGTATACAACCACATGAATGAATCTCAAAAGCATTAGCCTGTGTGAAAGATGCCTTGCGTCAAAAGCTGCATACTCTATGAATCCATTCACAGGACTTTTTGGAACAAGCAAAACTGCAGGGACAGAAAACTGAGCAGTGATTTCCAGGGACCAGGGTTGGGGATAAGAATTGTCCACAAAGGGGCATGAAAATTTTGGGAGGAGTCATTATATATCTTGACTGTGATGGTGATTTCCAAAACTCGTGGAACTATACAGCAAAAGAATAAAATTTCCTGTATGTAAATTATATCTCCATAAAATAAAAGAAAAAGGTGTCTTTGGGTTCTACAAAATTCCATGAAAGAGTGCAGCTTCTCAGACAAAGCTTTCAGTAGCTGCGGCCCCTTCCTCGGTATCCTCATGGACTAAGTGAGGTCTTGTCGAGTTGCAGTTAACCACTGGCTGACCAGACCTCAACGCACAGCCATGAGCAGCTGTGAAAGCAGCAACCACCACCCACCTGAGATTCCAACTGTCTTCCACTTTCCATGCTGAGACCTCCTCCCGCCCCCAACTCAGCTGTGCCCTTCTTATCTCCATGCCATGGCTTCTTCCCAGCGTCATCAGGTGAGTGGCTCAATTCAGATGCTTCTCAGATTCCTGGGCACTTTCTTCCTTAAGACTTCTGTTTGTCTCCATGTTTCAAAAGTACAGTCAGGAAAAACCAATGTTCCACAATTGCCCACAGCTGTAGGACCCCGCCAGGACTTAGGCTCTGCGATTGTTGCAAAAAGACCAGCCTCTTTGCTGGAATTCTTCCAGAATAAATCAAAGGAAGAAAACAAGACCTTTAGTTCCGGGTCAGGTGTGTGAGAAAGATGAATCCCCAAGGCCTCCCAGTGAAAAGTATATTAATTAGGACTCAGTGTTAAGTAACAGAAATCAGCTTGAGGTGGAGAGGTAATGTTACATCTCAGTACATTAATCTGTGCTTCCCACATATTCCCTTTCCATCCTAGAATGTCCAGGCTATTGTCTTCTTTCTCCTAGTTTAAGCAGAAGCAAAAACAAAGGTTGAACAATGCCACTGGCCTACGCATGATGAAGAACTATTCAAATGCATGTTTTCACCCTCAATAGTGGACAGTCCAAACTGACAGGTGCTATAAGTGGAAAAAATACAAATTGTATTCACACACAATGTAAAATATCTCAATTTTATATTGATTTTCATATTGCAATGGTAATCTTTTGGATATATTTAAAGATACTTTAAAAATTAATTTTACCTGGTTTTAAAGATATTTTTTAGTGTGGCTCTAGAAAATTTAAAATTACATTTATGACTCACATTGTATTTCTCTTGGATAACATAGCTCTATAACCTTGGCAAATAACCAAAGTTCAGTTTCTTCATCTGTAAATTGCTGTAAGGATCAAAGCTAATGAAGGTTAAGAACTTAGCATAGTGTCTGAATCATAGGGGACTTTCAAAAATTAACACGCAACTATAAATTTAGGTAATTATTTACACACTGCTCAGGACATTCAGGAAATGACAGATTATCAAATGCCTATAATATAGAGAAGTTTAGATAGTTTTAATGATTAAAATGCATTCTAATTCATTAAAATGCATACTACTTCAAAAGGTCTTATGATCAAGTTAGAGTTGTCACCTAAAGGGAGTGGTGATTGTGGTGGGTTACATGGAAATATGGAATGGCTCTGTTTGAGGAAGAAAGTCAATTTAGGGAATTTGGGAGAATTGGGGTGTTGGGTGGTTTAGGAATGGTAGGGACCTGCAGAATGGTAAGGTCCTCTGAGCCATCCAGAGATTACAAAATCCCTGAAAGGGAAAAGTGCAGGAGTTTATGCTCCAGGGAGGCTGGATCATGGAGGTTAGAGTCCTTGGGAACTTCATCCCTAAGCTGGGCAGAGAGGTGTGGAGATCAAACTGAGTGTACAAGGAGAGGTACCCTGATGGACCAAGGACAAGGCACCTTTCCTCATTTTCCTAGAGGAAATAAATCCAAATATTCTTATATGATTTCAAGGTAGAAAAGGAAAGTCTCTCTCACCTATCTCCCTCCCACCAAGCTCCCCACCATGAATGACATCAAACTGCTCAAGATCAAATGTCATGTCAATGTCAACCCTGGCAAGTGGCTGAGCTGAACTGGGTTAGAAAAATAAAGGAATGTGATATTTCCTGCACCTCAAGTTTTGTATTACAAATGCATGGTGAATTCTCATTTATAATTTGGTATCATCCTGGGGAAATATTTTGGAATGATCTATCTTCGGGTATTATGGCTTGTGGTCTCTTGTGATGGGATAGACATTAGGGAGATTTTCAGTTACTATTGTGTTACTTTTCCATAGATTTGAGTAAAATGAAAAATATGCATTTTTAATAATAATAATAATCATATATTACCATTTGGGGAAAAAATGATAAGCCCTCTGATAAAGCTTTCTCTATTTAAGTTGTCAGTAATGCTTCAGTGACCTTCCAGACTTGGATAAGAGCCTGTTTGTTATTCTCCTGAGGGTTCTAGGGATATGTCCCCAAGTATTTGGTCTGTAGATGCTGCCTGTGAAAGACATTCC